AAAGATTCGATTTACGATCGAAAAATTGCGATAATCGCGTCGCAGGATGTCTCGACGCGACTGACGAGTGAATGCAATTTCGGTGAATCACGCGGTGGCGTTGACACGTTCACTTTCATCCAGACGTTGGCAGAAAATCAAAATCATAGATCCAAGGGAACGCGTCGATGTGCCAATAGAAAACGCGAGCGCTGATACTTCGGGAGGAAAATTCAACGGCTTTCAGTAAACTGTGACAGGCTGTCAGGTGTACAAATGACAGCTTAAAAATCGGGGAGACAGGGATTGTGATGGATAGAGATGATTTTTCAATGAATTTGCGAGGGAGAATTTACACGTGAAATTAATTCAACGATTTTATCGTAAATTCTTTCGGTTTCTACTGTGTGCTTTGAAGAATAATTTCCCTGGGAAAACGCATTTTCGTGGATAAAAATGATTTTCTAAATAAAGAGAATTTACACGTAAAATTTAAGCAACGAACAGGTCGACGATTTTATTATAAATTCGTTTGGTTTCTAGCGTTTGAAAAAAAAAAAAAATTTCCCCAGGAAAACATATTTTCATGGATAGAAATGATTTTCCAAATAAAGAGAATTTATACGTAAAATTTAAGTAACGAATTTGTCCACAATTTTATGATAAATTTGTCCGATTTCTACAGTGTTTCCAAAAAAAAAATTTGCCTAGAAAAACACATTTTCATGGATAGAAATGATTTTTTAGACAAAGAAAATTTACACGTCAAATTTAAGCAAAGAATTTGTCGACGATTTTATGATAAATTCGCCCAGTTTCTACAGTGTGTTTGAAATGAAAATTTCCCGTCATCTCTGCGTAAGTTATCACCGCGGAATCGGCCAAGATTCAGCCAGCACGAGCGATTCCTCGTAAATTAGAATCAGCCTTGGTGCGTCCAATTATTGTCTGGCCGCAAGTTCAAGCGTTATCGTAAATCACCTTTGAACAAAACGCTCCTCGACCGTGTTTTGTACTCTCTAAAACCAACCGATATTTCTAAGCGAATTTCACGTGAAACTTAACATTCCATCCTTCCTTTGTGCACAATCCTGTCCTCGGTTATTTCAGACGAACGCAACAAAAGTGACGTTTATCGATACGAAAAATGATCGATGCGATATTCCCAAGAATATTGCAACAATCCTATTCTACACCCTGATAAGTGTGACTATCCGAGCGCGTTCTGACGCAACTAGCGCCATTTCATACCAGATCCCCGCCATTTTGTACGTCGCAACTCTAGCCAGAAATGGTTGACGTTTAAGCGACGCACGTTCCGCTCGTTTATCGACGCAAACATCATTGTCTGGCTGTGCCAGCTGTAAAACAGTCGTCAGAAAATTAACAGCCGGAACGAAACTGTTTCCGTTTACTCGGACCATACTCCCTCGTATCCCCACTTCGACCATTTCTGCCTTGAAATACCTTAAAATACATCGTTACACTTCCAACTATTCGCCCTATGTTCTCTTTTTTCTCAAAATCATCGCCGCAAATTTACTCAAAAAACAAAAGAACTCGTTAAGTACTCGTCAAAGTTTAAATGGCACGGTGTCGATACATGTTCGACACTTGAAACGTGATTTAGAGCAGGTTGTTTAGGTTCGTTGGCACTTTTCACCAGGGCATATCGCGCGTATCGAAATTTACTGTCGTTCTGAAAGCAACCAGTCCAACCGATAACCCAAGGTATAGCCATTGAAAAATGGTAACAGGTGTCTTATTCATCTTTCGTAAATTGCGTTCGTGACACATGCGAACGGCAGATTTATCACGCGATACATCACCTGTGTCGAGATAAATAAACTAGATTCTCTGTGTGTGTGTGTGTGTGCCACGCGTTGATAGTTTTTTCCTGTTATACGAAACAGGGCATCGATGTGAGTACACCATAAAAGAGTAACGGTGTAATTTTTTTTTTTTTACTACTTTTCGTCGATTATTTATACCGTTGTCGCGTGTTCTTGGTGGCGGAGGAATTTATTAGGGAATAAGGTAGGAAGGTTGGTAATTTTAGACGATCGAATCAGTGGAAACGATATTTCATATCGCGAGGTGTAACTGGGTCGAGAATAGTTTCTCACGCGTACACCACCCAGAGCCGATTTATATCAAATAATGACGCAACGGTCCTAAAGAAAGAAATTGGGCCTGCGGTAGGCGTGCAGTGGCAACAATCGGAACGCTTTAAATAGCCGGCATCAATATTGCCCTTTTCCCTGCTTGTTTGTTGAATAAGTCATACCACCCTCCCTCTTCCTGCATGGTTCATCCACGTTTCACCGCGTGAACTTTAGGTTTTCGCGGAAGTTTCCTGTGTTCTGTGACAATTTTACCAATTCTCTGCGATTAGTTTGAAGGGTTAGAAGAATGGGGTTACTTTAGAGGGGTTTTGTTGACAAATTTTGGAACATTTGGAGAGTTCTGGGACTGTTTTACCATTCCTCAGTATTTGATTAAAGGGCTAAATAGGCTTAGGAATCCGAAAATAGGGTTATTTTAATGGAGAACTTTGTTAAAAAAATTTGGAAAGTTTGGAGAGTTTAGTAGCCATTTTACCATTCCTTAGCATTTACTTAAAGGGTTAAATAGGCTTGGGAAGCCCAAAGTAGGGTTACTTTAATAACAAGTTCTTAGATTTAGCAATCTTGTGAATTTTGTTAAAAAATATCGAAAAATTTGGAGAATTCAGTGACCATTTTACCATTTTTGAAAGCCAACCTTTTACTACGCAGCAGAGGATCTCTAAATTCACTAATCTTGTAAATTGTGTTAAAAAACAATGAAAAATTTGCAGAGATCAGTTGCCATTTTACCATTCCTCAGCATTTGGATAAAACAGAGATAAAATAGAGATACCTTTAAAGATTCATTATTAATCGCTCAACATAATGTACCTAGATTTGCCAATCCTCCGTATTTTCTTAAGAAACACTGAAAAATAACAATAATACAGCTATCTCTACGAGACCCATATTACAATACCGGAAGAAAATTTGAACCTAAAGTCCTAAATACACAAATAAACCTACTATTTTCCTACAGGTGATACCAAAAATATTCACCTCCCTGAAAATTCAAATTGAAGGAGCAATTCTCATTTAAAAAAAAAAAAAAAAAAAAAAAAA